CAGACACCCTTAGTTTATGAATTTGTGAAACAATAAAAGTTTTAAATTGAACATCCAGGTCTGAACCTGTGCTTAATTCAGTCCTTCTATAATTCGGCACGAACTCACACATGCAGCCAGGCACCAGGGGCAGAGCGAACCCTGGGACTGATGCACAAGGGGCTGGGCTGGGCTGGGCTGGGCTGGCCACACATGCTGCACTGGGTACAGGGGACCAAGCACAAAGCACACTGCATGTGGCATCCTGTCGCATTAGCCCTGCATGCAGGTTCTGACACTGCCTGATTTGACCATGCCTAGGAGGCAGCGTGCAGAGCTGGTCTGGCACAGGCACTGCATTGCAGCATGTGCCCCAAACTGACCCCATCCGATGTTGCATGAGGCACAGCATCCTGCACATGTGGGGCTAGGGACTATCCCATGTCGTACATGGAATCAGCCCAAAGACCCACAGCCTGGATAATATGGCTCCATGGGCTGGATCCAGCCCAGGGGCCATATATTCAACATCCCTGGTTATGTGATAAACATACCAATAGGAAAGAATTGGTTAAGGATGAGATGGTGATGGGAAACTTGGGAGTAGACATACTAGAACTCATGATTCAAAGATGGATAAAGCAGGAGGTTAGCAGAGTTAACACTGGATTTCAAGAGGGTGGATTTCAACCAGCTCAGAAATAATAGCCTAGATATCATGAGAGGACAAGCTGAAGGATAAACGGGGCCCACAAGGCCTGGCAGTTTCTAAAGGGCACAGTACTGGAAGCTCAGCAAGAAGCTATTCCAACACAATGGAAGCACAAGAATGGCAGGAGACCAGTGTGGCCATACAGGTTGCTTCTTGGTGCCTCAAAATCAAAAGGAAAAACATGCGGGCAATGGGAGGAAGGGCAAAAATCACTAAGAAATCATACCGAGAAAGATGAATTTCTAGGAACAGAATCAGGGAGGCAACGATACAAAAAGCGAATTACATTCAGCAAGAGGAGTTAAGGAAAGGGTTCTATAAATACGCTGGTCAGGAAAGAAAAACTAAGGAAAGTATGGGTCCATTGCTGTTAAGAGGGTAAGCTATTAACAGAGGATCCAAAAGGCAGAGCTACTAAACAACTATGCTGCCTCAGCCTTCACAAAAACAGCCACAAAGAGATGACTAACAAAAATTATATAAACAAGGAAAGGGAAAGGCCAAGGGTCATGATAATGAAATGGAGCATTAGAAAACTTTTGATGCATTTGAATGAACTTAAGCCAGCACAGCCTGAGGCACTTCATCCCAGGGTTGGCAATCTAATCAAATGACCACATATTTTTTGACTGGGCAAAGATTATAACAATTTTTATGAAAAAACTAGTAGTTTTCTTAACAGAAATAAGATTTTTGACATTTCTTAATGGAAAATTTGTGCTTTTTCTGTGTATTATTTGGACCCATTGGGCCTTCTTTGTTTTTTGGGGTTTTTGTTTTTTTGTTTTTTTTTTCTTTTACTGGTCTCTTTTACTGAATTTTAAATACCCAACTCTATTTCATCCCAGGGTTTTAACAGAACTTGCAGAAGGGATCTCAGAGCCCCAGACAATATTTACAAAGCTGTGGAAGATGGGTGATGTTCCAGAGGACTGAAAAAAAAAGGGTCAACATTGTGCCCCCCCCTTTTCTTTTTAGAGGGGAGTGGGGCCAACAGGCAGATCCAGGGAATTATGGACAGTCAGATACTTGGGAACTTACTGGAACAAATTACAGTCATCAATTTGCAAGCACCTAGAGGAGGGAAGGCTGATCATGAGCAGGCAGCATGGAATTAAGAACAAGTTGTATCATAGTGTCATAGCGCTTAGGGTCGGGAGGGACCTAAACAGATCATCTGGTCCGACCCTCTGCCCCGGGCAGGAACAGGTGCCAGGGTCATATCACCCCAGCCAAATATCTGTCCAGCCTCCTCTTGAAGACCCCCAAGGAAGGAGAGCACCACCTCCCTTGGGAGCCTGTTCCAAAGCCTGGCAGCCCTAACCATGAAGTAGTGTCTCCTGAAGTCCAGCCTGAACCTTCTTGCTAACAATTTGTGACCGTTCTTCCTAGTGACCCCGGGTGGTGCCTGGGGGAACAAAGCCTCCCCCAATTCCCACTGGTCCCCCCTGGTGAGTTTGTAAATGGCCACCAGATCCCCTCTCAGCCTCCTCTTGTGGAAATACAAGTTGTGTACTTGTACTTTAGTGAGGGTTTTGATAAAATCTTACATGACCTACTCAAAAGCAAGTTGAAGAACTGTGAACTTACAATCATTACCCATCTTGTCGTCTCAACCTCAAGCAAAGGGTAATTATAAATTAATCTGTGTGAGAATGGCAGGTTTCAAATGGTGTCCACAGGGGTCTGTCCTGTGTCTGGTGCTATTTAACGTGTTAATTATTTTAATGCCAGGACTGAGAGTTTCTGGAACCAACTTGTAGATGGCAACTGGGGAGGACTGAACACATTGGAAGAGAGGAGCAAAATTCACAGGGATCTTGACTGGTTGGAAAGCTGGGCTAGAAGGAACAGGATGAGGTTCAGTGCAGACAAATGCAAGATGCCACATCTAAGGAAGAATAATTAAAAGCAAACATACATAAGGGAAGATAACTGGATGGCGGCAAAATTGCCAAGAAGGGCCTTGGGGTTTTGATAGATCAGAGGTTGGCAATGTTTTTTGGCAGAGTGCCAAAACCACTCATCAATAAAGGTGTAAGATGTTGGTGTGCTAGGGTGGATGGCAGAGGAGCCATGAGGGGCTTGATTCTTGTTGTGACAGCACAACCCTGTTCCCCTTCCCCGCCACCTGCCCTGAGGCTCAGGTGCCAACCAAATGCTTTCACATGCCACTCTGGCACGTGTGCTGGAGGTTGCCTACCCCTGTGGGAGATCATGAACTAAACATCAGTTAGCAATGGGATGCAGTTGCAAAAAATAAATAAATAAATTTTAAAAAAAATGTTAAAATTAAAAAAAATATAAAAAAATATATATTTGCATACTCTGGGCAGGGGCATGCAGGCAGAGGATCATGGCTCTGAACCACACTGTCACCACTGCAAGAAGCCAGGGCAGAGTCACAACCCCCTGTCTGCACACCCCTGCCCAGAGCAGGTAGGCTGCAGATTGTGACTCTGCCCCACCTCTGGTCCATGCTGTCACTGCCACAAGATCCCAGCCTGGCCCCAGAGCAGCTCCCCACCTTACCATGTGCCCTACCAGCACCGCTGGGGCTGGTCTCCACAGAAACCCCAGCCCAGGTTATCACAAGGTGGCTGGTGTTGGGGTCTCCATGGAAACCGCCCCCAGTGGCATGAGCAGGGGCTTCTGGGAAATGGAGTCCACTACCAGACAGACTTTGCCTATCCCTGTTCGACAGTATTAAAGCACTGGACTGGAATCTAGGAGATCTGAATTTAGTTTCCAGCTTTGCCACACACTCCTTGCATTACCTTGCTGTGTTGCAAGCTCTGTGCCTCAATACAGCTTTTAAAACTTCTCTCAGACAAGGTTACCTTGTCTATTCAGATGTAAACTCTTCAAGGCAAGGCTTCTCTCTTACTAAAAACAAATAGCACTTAACGAAACAGCTATGGCCTCAAGTGCTCCCACGTTGCAAATACAAGCATCGCAAGGCCTGTGTGCTCACCCTGAGCTGTGAAATTGCTGCTCTGCCTTCCTCACTTTCTTCATCTAGTTCATCATCACTCCACTCCCAGCCGCCATCCTCAGTTTTATGAAGCCGCCCGCTGGAACCAGGGACTCGCCGGACCTGCTCGGCCAAAAGACAAAGAGCTACCAGACGAAGCAGATAGTTTGAAGCATTAATGTTGCTTGGTAAAAGCGGTCAGAATATCCAAGGTGATGCATAGCTTGGATAAGCCGTTTGAGGACTTGACAAAGGATGAGTAAGCATTAGACTAGACTAATTGCCATGCTAACTAATAATTGGTGCAAAAAATTAACTTAATGAAGCGTATGAACTGAAACATCACTGCTCAACAGAGGCAGTCAATTCCCAATGGCTGCATCTTGGTACCTTTTTGGATCGTTCAGTAATTGTTGGTGCTCTCTGCAGCATCTTTTCTTGTAGAAATTCTTTATTCTGAAAGAGAAAAATTTCAGTATCAAGTTCACTTTTTTACTGGTATAGGTCATTTATGGCTCAATAGGCATAACTGTGGCAATAAAAACGTTTTGCTAGCACCAGGAAGCATCTTGCACTGTTTGGAAGCTAACATACCTTTGTCTTAAAGTTTCCAAGAGGTAAATAAAAAAAAAAAATTTTTTTTTAAAGTTACTGTTCCTTCTCTAGCACATTAATTTCCCTAAAGTGCATGTTAATCCCAAACAATTACAACCCATACTGGAAGACCCATTTCTTAAAGAAATCTTCCCAGAACCACCCACGCTAGCTTTTAAAATAAGCACTAACCTCTCCACTCTCAAAGAAGTGAGAAGCAAACTTCCTATGGCCCAAAACACACTGAATAGACCCAGACCATGCCAGGACAAGAAATGTAAAACCTGCCAACACATCTCCACCGCCCCCACCATAGCTACACCCCACAACAGAACTATCACCATTCCTGGATCTTACAGCTGCACCTCCAGAAATGTAATCTCTCATCCACTGCACTAAATGCCACGATAGAAAATACATAGGACAAACCAAACTGCGTACCAGAATGAATGCACACCGGAAATCTATCAAAGACAAAAATACCCAATTACCCGTGGGTGCACACTTCTCACAAGGCAACCACTCTCTCTCCAATCTCTGTTCTAAACCTCAAAGGGAATTTACAAAACACCTTTTATAGACAAGCCTACGAACTTCACTCCATAAATCTACTGGGTGCAAAAAAAATCATGGACTAAATCTAGACACTGGATTTATGGCACATTACAACCTACCTGCCACCCAATAACCCCAGGTAACCTGTCTGCCAGTTATGTTCTATCAGCAGGTCAATATCCCCTTCCCCGCACCACCACCTGCCTGCCTCACACCTATTGTATCCCATCCCTCTGATCCTCATTGCCACACATTTGCGTTTTCACAAACCTGCATTTTGCATATTGACTTGTATTCCATCCAGAACACAAAACAGCAGACTCTCCCCATGTCTGAAGGGTGTTTGTGCCCAAAAAGCTTGCAAAGAACAATTTTTCCAGCTATTCAGTTAGTCTAATAAAAGATGTTCATTTACCCAAAGAACCTTGCCTGCCTGTGTCCTTAGACCAACACAGCCACAATCAACACCCCCTGTTAATCCCAAGTACCTTTTCATCAGTGACCGACAGTCCCTCCTGTAAAGTGACATGGGATTAAGAAGTGGAAAATGCCAGGTTTGTGTTCCCTAAAATTCTACTGAATCCCTGCAATACAATTTGTCCCCAGAAAATAAAAGTTAAAAAAGTTGTAGGAAACAAGTCAGAGGTCTGCAGAATTGTATCCAGTATAGTCCATACCATCAGTTTTCAAAGGCTTTCTATTTCCTCAGCCTACACCAAAGTAAATTTAGCTTCTGCCCTCCTCGTTCCACCCATTTTCCTTTGTTGTCCCAAAAGGGTCCCTTCTAGCTAGCAGATATCAGCATCTAGGGGCAGAACAGTTCAGTCCAATTCTGACCCAGAAATTGCAGCAGGAAAAAGAGGTTATAGAGCAGCACTGGAAACAGCACACGCCATTTATAATGTGCTGCATACTGCTTGCAATTTGGACAAAATGTGAACTAGATCTTGCATTAAAATACCTCTCTCTAAAAGCCGCATCTACTTCACCTTCAGTACACAAAACACATGATTATAATGATTCTGATTCACCCCAACCACCACCAAAAAAAACAAACTGTCCAGCTTCACATCCAATGATACTTAAATATTTCACATACATAAAAATCAAATCAACATACACTTTTTCACTTGAGGTTCTGGTGTGAACATTGCCCTTATGTGTGGAAACACTAATTTTTTATGATGTACATTCCTTCAGAGCAATTCAATAAAAATGTGGGTGAAGGTTTTACATGCGATAAACAACAGAACAATCAGTCTTAGTCAGATGTGGAAGATTTAAGAAACGCACAACCCAACCAATGAACAGCTTCATTAGGCCTTTTCATAATTAAATGATATTGCTAGAGCTGGAACACAGGGAATGTTCGCCCTGAAATTAGAGGCATTCATCATTTTGCCGCCTCCGTATGCCCTCTGCCCATTAGTCCATACACCTTGGGACAATGAACAAGCCAAAAGTTGAAGTTTGAAAGCAACCAGAGAAATATTGCATCGCTTCCATCCATCTTGGGAATTCTTCCCTTTAAGTGCTGCTTCCCTCAAAAGTTATCTTTGCCCAAAATCTAGGGCAAGAAATACATAAATATTCAACCATGACGCAGAAGCAGAATTAAAGTCTGATTTCTTGCAAGCGAATTTTCAGAGCTAGAAATGGGAGTTATGCTATTTGTATGGGAGGCACAACATTTGCTGGAAATTCTTGGGCAGTCTCAGTCCTTACATTACTTAAAGAAGGCACAGCAGGCTGGTTTTTAGAGATGTCTGAAATGTTAGTCTTATTTACTGCTTCCACAGTGGGACCTTCAGAAATGTGCCATTATAAGCAGAGGGAAAGGAAAGAAACCCAGGGACAATGTTAAATCTCTTAAGATTTTCTGCATCATAACTTTCAGGAAGGGCCGCGATGAGATCTCAGGTAACAATTTTATTGTACCCATTTCCCTTACTCAGTCAGCATACACAATCAGCCAGAAATGCAGACCTGCAAAGATTTATACCACCCAACATGCTTCTTCCTAAACAGAGCTCCCACCAATTGGAAATAGTGAGTGACAAAAGTTAGGAAGTGTTTGCCTACCTTTGCTTTCGTGAAAAATTTGTGTCTTAAAAGTTCAGCAGCTGTTGGTCTATTAATAAGAGGGAGGAAAAAAATGGTTATAAAAGCTGCTTTTGAAGGCAACTGATTTGTGGCTTGCCTCACGATTGCAGCCTGCTTACAACAAGGAAAGCCGAGTGGAGCTCGTACCCTTAGAGTAGAGTTGGCCTGTTCTTTAAACACATTTCCGATAGCACAAGGCAAGCTGTGGCTTGGGTTTACCCTGCTTTAAAAAGATAAACTTGTCAAGAAAAAACTACTCGCATTCTGATGCTGAATTCAACTTTTTTTTTGAGAGAGAGATCACAGAAAAATGACCTGGCTCAAGTGACAATGAAAGATCAGACTACCATGGGAACAGTGCAGTATTGATGTTGCACCATTAAGCAAGAGCTTTTTTTCTAGTTCCATTAAAACCAAATGAGATGATCCATCTTTGCCAAATGGAAAAGGTCAAAAATCAGGAGGGAAAGAAATAAAGTTAAGCATATTAAGTGCTTGAGACATGGGAAAGCAAAGATGTATTCAAGGGTTCATAGGGATTTTCAAAAGCTGCAAACCTCTATGAAAGGATAATTTACAGTGCTAAAAGAAATATAAGCAACTGTGTTTAACAGTGACACGCTGAAGTTAAATCCTTACTAGCATTTTATTAACTACAGTATTACTATGGTAAAAGAGCTGAATTGGGAAGCTCCTGTTCCTAATTAAAACAGTGTTACAAAACACTCCTCTCCTGTTCACTCTGGGTATACCAGGCTTCTACAGCTGTAATGCACTCTGCAGTGGGGGTGTAAATCTGTGCTGGTACTATCTTTGCCATACAAGTTGTTTCCTGTAGGCAGACCTCTAGCTTCCCATGAGAGCAGTGGGTTTATACCTGCACAGAACAACTGGCAATATTAGAGCCTCAGTTCCTCGAGTGAACACCAAGCTGTTGATTACTGGCTGCTAACATGCATGCTCACTTCAGACTGGTGGGTGTTTGTGGCAGCAAGGAGAGAAGAGTATGCGATGTGTGAAAAAGTGGTAATGTTTAATCCCAGTCCATGCGAGCTCTAGCTCATCATGTATATGATCATGCTGTTAAAAAAAGGAAGAAATGAGAGTCAAACCAGGAGGAACTGGTACCACCCTCTGCCTGGAATCCCATCAGGTTCATTAAGCGTGCCAAGTTTAGTCAGTTATAAAAAAACTATGCCATTTATATCAAGGCTGTATAGAGCCCTAAAGCGATGCTCTGCTGTACTGGGGAATCAAAGAGAGCCTTAATTATAGTGCCGTATGAAAAGTCTAATCTTCCCCAGCCGTGACCTGCTGACTCCGGGGATAAAGAAGGTTTATTTTTAGTCTCCATAAATGCTTCTGCTTCTTTACAGTGTGGTTTATTAAGAAATAACCTTCATATTTTGGAGAATAAAAAAAAAAAAAATAGTACGATTCTGTTTGAAAAACTTCTTTCAGAGCAATTCATGGAGGATGTAAACCCAAGGGCTTCACCTCAAAGATGCATTTCAGTTCAAGCCTTCCCTTCAAGAGTGGCTGTTACCAGCAGCCACTCTGCACTGAGCTAGCAACCTAGGGAAAGGTTGGGGGGCAGAGGAGGCAGGCGACCCAGAGCTGGCAATGGTTAGTGAGCATTCCTAGATTAGAGCACCGTCATAGTTTTACCTGTAGAAATGTGGCCTTGTACCAGAGAACTTGACTGAGGCTTTAAAAGTTACCACCAAATAAGCCAACAGTAATAAACTGGGAACCACAAGCTCATGTTCTGCTCCACTTCTCTCACAATGCAGAACAAACTTGCTCATTTGCAGCAAGTACAACTTAAAACCCAGTGCATCTGGACATTTCAAAAGGATGTGTATAGAGAGAAGACCAAGGGAAATCAGCTGCCAACATTTTACCTTGCTACTCTCCATAAATAAATACTCCTCATAATTAAGCTAGTTGATCCATCCCTGTTTTTATGAATTTAAAAACAGAAGTTTATCTGAAGAGCTCCTCAGGTAAATATGCAGCAGGCAACCTGTAATTACTGAGACAGAAAAAACCCACTGCAATTTTAACTAGATGCAAGACAGGAACTACAATGAACCCCTCCAGGGGGTAGGATACTGGGGAACAGTGGCCTAGATGGAGCCTGTGTTACTTCACCAGGGACGTGCGCACGTCTAAGCCACTTGCACACAGTGCTGAATAGTCTACCTTTGTTAATCAATAAGGATAGCAAGGACAATTTACCATTACATAGCAAGCCTTCTGCATTCAATTGCAGCTCAGAGACTATAGAGGTATCTCGGGCACAACAGCTTTAAAGACCGAGATGTGCTGGGTTTTTCAATTATGTGCGTGTCTGGTGGTAGCGATGGGGACACCCTTACCTTTTCTCCGGGTCCTTCTGCAGGCATGAGGAAATCATCTTCCTAAACGATTTCCCATACTTTTTCAGCATTTCTTTATCTTGCACTCCAGTCTCCAAAGAAGGGGGATCGTTCTGTAGTGTCAGCATTAACACCTGAAAGAATCAAGTCCACTGTAAACATCTGGGGGGACCAAAAATTCTCCTGAAGAGCCAGGTGTTAGAGATGGCACTTGTATAAACTCCCTGCAAAAAGGCAGAATGAGGCTTTCTGCCGATGCTCATCATGACCCTTTACACTTTAAAAAGACCCAGGCTGCAGGATGAATGCCAGGTCCGGGCAAATTTCTAGGTCAGCCACACCAGCATGGTGCAGCCTCAAAGGAAAGCAGAAGGGCAACAGTTTTTCTGCCAAGTCTACTCATTTGTGCCTTGAGATGGTTCACGCAAGACCTTAGGTTCAAATGTTCTCTCCTGATCTGCCCAAAGGCGTCTCCTTAGTCATAGGAGGAAGTGGGGAGCGAGTCAGAAATTGTGTTAATTATTAATGCAAACAGAAAGGCCACATGGATGATAAGATAAACTTGTGCTCTCACCACCCCATGCACCCGCCAGGTCAAACTGATTTCTTCTGTTCAACTCAACGCAGCAAAGGCATTCGAAACAAAAGAAAAAAAATTGCCCTTGCTTCCATTTTCACTTGTCATTACTGTTGTACAGACTATGCCAATTTTAGAAAGAGAACCAGCAAGCAATATATTTGAAGACATTTCTACAGCTGTAAAACAGCAATGGCCCATCAATTCAGGCAGAATTATACAGGCTAATGAAAGTGGAAGTTACATTTTCTAGTGACAATATGAAAATAGAAATTGCTGCCTAGTGACATTTATAAACAAAGTCTGAACTTGCAGTTTGAATGCAGTGAGCCCAGTCCAAAATAACTGGTGTAAAAATGTTACCAACCATCTACAGTCGCACGGGAAACTACTACTGACAACAGCAGAAGCGGCTCATCTGAATTCATGGCTGCTTTGTTACGAACATTAACTGCATCTGCAAACAGCACAGCTGTTCAAGACTTTGTCTATGCATGAAAGTTGGAATAATAATATTAAGTATGTATATTTTAATAGATGGATTTGAAGCAGTGCAAACTCGTGTAGACCCTCTTAGTTTAAAAGACTGGCTTATTTAAGTACGGCTCAAGTCAATTAGGAATCCGAGTTAAAATAAAACTAGCCACTTTAAAATCGAAATAAGACCCCCCTCACAAAGGGTTTTCCACCTGTTTAAAGGATTTGGTTTAAAAGCTGAAGTTAAACTTGGCACAACGTCCATATATAGTAAAGAAGGTGCATTTTCACACTACTCAATCTTATTAAAAGTACTGATTTTGAATAAAATGAAATTGTTCTTCGGAAAATGTTTGTTTCATTAAATACCACCTGACAAAACCTGCCTAATTCAGCACTAATCCTGCCATTTTTGCAGAAATTTGACCAGCATTGTAAAGCAGCAATACAATTTCCAACCACAGATTTGACAATCTGGAGCGTATGAAGCGGAATAGGCCTGCCTTTTGTTCACCAAATGCATCTGACAAAGGGATCGGCCTGTTACTTGAACAAAGCGCCCATCACACAGAAATATTCTGAGGTCCAAAGGCTCCAGAAGCACAATCCATCATGCTGTATAGCAAGAGGCAGCTGTTACAATGCCAATGCCACAGATCAAGGATGAAGAGAAACCATTTTTCAGACAATGCAAGCAATGGGAAGTGAGAGAAGAGTTTGCACAGCATGAACACAGGGAAGGAAGGGACCTCCTGGACTACAGTCCAAAGCCCTAGGAAACCGTGTTGTATAATCTCTTCTATACACTGAGAAAGGTGCATTTTAAAAGGTGGTTACTTTGGTCCTCATTCCAGACCACCTCTCTCTCTTCCAACACCTTCCTACTGCATTGCTTCATTTACTTCCATCATACCTTTCCTAAAATCAGGTTGCATGTAGAAAAGCCTTCCTGTTTTGTAAATGTGGATACAAACAAACAAACAAAAACACTGCTCTCTATCCAAGCTGCTCCATTACTGCACAAGAGCAGGTTTGAAGCAAACCTCCCCCAGCCTTCAGCAATCCCACCTAAAAAGATATTAAATACGCAGATCCTGGACTCGAAAGATGCTGTTCTAAGTCACCCTTCAAAATGGTATCCAGCAACAAGACCCACCAGAACCTATAACAGGAAATGCCACCTCTCCAAGTAAATTGCCCAAGTCACCCGCCTGGAATACCCAAGGCTGAGACCATCAGCTCAACTTACTTGGGCTACTCAACAGACACGAGATCAACTTGCAGCCTCCAGCCAGGCTAATGCTCCAGCCAGTCACATCTACAAAATTATGAAGGGCAAAATTCAAAGTTCTGAAAACTCAGATATGAAGAAGCAACCTTTACTCTGCCCCCCTGGGGCTGACAACAGCCTATGGGAATGGTCTGCAAGAACTCAAATGGCATTCACTCAGTTAAGGTCTGGGAGTGTTGAAGTAGAGAGGGATTACTGGAAAAAGTTTGGCAGAGCTGCGACTGAGACAGATGTTCATCTGGATGGGCCGTGTCCTTCTCTGGTGGTGTCAGTCCTAAGACCTCCTTCCGTGTGTGGGTACCTGGAGGAGTCCAGTATGCCTTAGCTCAGGAGTTTTCTTGCCATGCCACATCAACCGTTACGAAGAAGAAAGCATTTAACAATGGACAGGTGAAAGAACAGTGGCATCACGTACATAAGAGTGAAGGGATTGTAAAACTTCATTGTTTCTGTGGAGCAGGCTAAGAGTTTGGCTGAAAAGCAGGTGTGTATACAAGTCCTGTTCAGTACAGTTCAAAGGCAGAGTGAGCATGTGAGCTTGGGGCATTGCTCAAAGTGCAAGTGTGGCAAGAAGGTAATACACTTCCCCGCCACACTCAGGTGCGACTTGAATACCCACCCTTGAAGGCACTGCCTTTCAATGTTGCATGTCCTGGTTTTCAGAGCACAAGGAGAACCTTGCATTGCACTACTGGGGCACAGCTCGCATGAGGGGAAAGGGAGCAGGTCTTGCCCATCCTTAGAAGGACAGTCTTCCAGAGCACAGTGCATATCTGGCGGTAGGGAGTGTGGTTCAGACACTCCCAGACAGGCAGGGACCCCATGATGCTCATGATGTGGGTAAGGAGGGATGACCATACTGGCCCTCCTCTGATGCACAAAAATAAGGAAGAGGGCTGGAAACAACCAGAACCATGGCTCCCAATGGTGGGTGGGAAAAGAGATGCAAAGGGACAGGGTCTCAGGTCCCAGCACACACTGTTCTACTCCTCCTATTTCCCCAATAACCCGTATCAACCCCTCCTTCCTTCCACTATAACCCACCCATCCCCAAATACCCACCTCACACCCCCCTTTCCCTCAACATTACCCAAAACTATTCTTCCTCGTTCCCCTATTCCACTGGCGCTCCACTAAGACCCCTGCACCTCCCCACACGTCATTTGTTCTCTTTCCCAAAACAAGTTTGGAGTGCCCTCTCAACCTCTCGTGCACTCAGATTACAATTGTCCTAAATAATAAAACCTTGGATTTGGGGCAGATGGCAGCAAGGAAACATCTTGCTTTCCTTCTCTCCATCTCCACTGGCCCACTTTGTCCCAAGGGCTAGCTCTGAAGAAGAACTGGCTGGGCACACACCAGGTTCAATGGCCACTGCATTTCCCCCTGAACCACCCAGCTCAAAGAGAACAACGAAGCAACAAAGTCTCTTATTTCATGATGTTGGGATTGCACCTGTATGGAACATCTTCTCAAATTTCTCTCCCACAAATGCTAGCGAGGTGAAATGTCAAGGCACTGAGGCCATATTTAGGGCAAAACCCAAGTCATGGCTTCATTCCCATGCCTGTGCAAAAATGGCAGAACCTGTTTTAAGAAAAGCTGGTTTTCGTAGGGTCTGTCTCTCAAGAGCCACCTGCTCAAGTCTGGCCAAATTCAGAGCACATACCCCCACCCTGTATGATCCTGAAGCACTCTAAAATGTCACAGTCAGCCGATTAAACACAGGGATTTAAAATGACTTAAGAGGCCACCTGTTCACAGAGAGGGTTTCTTCACTAGCTACAGCAGCATCGGACTCTGCTATCATCACGCCTAGGCTTGACTTCAGTAGATTCCCCTACACAATTTTATACCAAAAGGATAATGTCTGCATATATCCTATACTGATTCTGGTGACAGACACTTCAGTGCTGGTGCAGAGAAGTTACAAGCACCTTAAGAAACCTCTCTATGGCAACCAATGCCAGATTTTATGGGCAGATGAAGGGGAGAAATGATATGATAGGGAAAGAAAAAAAACATAGTGACTCCTTATCCAGATGCCTTATCAGATGCTGTTGATGCAACTGATTGTTCTCTAGTCCACCAACATCTGGTCTGCTATTTTTAAAGAAGGCAAGTGTGAGACAGCTTTCACAGCCTCTACAGAGAAAACATATGGATCTCAACAGAACTATTCACTGTTGGAAGCCCACACACAAGTAAAGCACTTTGCTTAATTTTAGAAACCACTTCCCCATACGCCTTGAAAACTACTGTTTTCTGGCGTGTCATACGTACAATTATGAAGGGAAGTCTAGTAACTGAGCTGACAGCTTCCTTTAAGACGGCCTCAAGAAATGCTAATAATACTGCTTTTTGTCAACGTGAGTAATTGAAGATCATTGCTCACCTTCATTGGTGGGTATTTATGATACGGAGCGGCCCCCGTAGCTAGCTCGATAGCAGTGATTCCAAAACTCCAGATGTCGGCCTTGAAATCGTAACCTCTGACCTGAAAAATCACAACAGACATTACTTACACCTTTCGTTATCTCCCCCCTGCCCCAAGGCATGCAATGGAGCTTGTACATTTTTTTGGTCTCTTTTCTTTATCCTCATGTGCTCTAGAAGACACATCTCCCATTAACTCCAGCTGGTGTTGCAACCATACCCAGAGGAAAGACATGCCTTTCTTCCTCCGAGTTCCTTACTGGCTTCAGTCAGATGGCACATCAGGTAGACCACATTTGTGGCTCAAAAATGGCTCATATATCACCATACAAACAAAATGGTTAGAGCCACGTGGTCCAAAGGCATGGCCTTCAACTGGGCTTTGGCTTCGCACCAACCTGGAGAATCATTACACCGAAACAGGCAGGCACCGCTAGGAAACGGATCGCCAGCCCCGTCACGTGCCTCACTAGCACCTTCGAGGCAACCGCTTGAGTAACTCGGCGACAACCACTTCCACTCCAAAAACCAGTCTGAAAAATGTTGCATTGTAAGTCTGTGCCAGCCTCCTGACAGATTCCTCCCTTCTGTTTAATAGAAATCATTAGAGACCTAATATTTTGCCTTCTGTTCAACTGTCTTCCACTTTAGTAGGCATTAGCACTTTCTGCACTTGAGGATGTGCAGGATGGATTTGTTCAGTAAAGCTATCTAGTATCCGACTTTTTTTTTTTTCTTTTTAAACACAAATTTCAAAAGTCCTCGCTAGAAACAGATTAGGTGTTCACATCTAACTAGCTTTCTCCACCGCAGAGAAAAAGACACTGTACTGACTTCAGCCACAGCTATAAAAATCCAAGCATTTGAATTGTTTGCTCTTCCTGCTTACTGAACAGACGAGAACAAACTGGAAAAAGCCAGTAGGCTCAAATTTCTTAGCACCAGATAAATCAATACTGTATATACCCAAATCCAAGATGACTTTGGATGTAAGCCAACACCCCAGTTTTTAGATTCTACATATGGGAAATCTATACATTTGTTATCATTTTCCATGTTTAGAATCTAATTATTGGAAGCTTGTCTTAAATTCATCCTCCCCACCACTGCAGCGACGGACAGCAGTGGCAGGGGGACAGGCAGCCCCCACCACTTGCTCCCATTTCAGTCTGCCTCCCCTGACAGTGTCTATGCTCCTACTGACTGCTCCCTGCAGCCTCTGCCCCTCTGCCTGCCCCCCCCGGAGGTGCACAGCTCTGGCCCGATTCCCTCCTGGACACAGAGCACATGCAAGCTCCAGCCCAGCAACATCCTGAGCTGAAGCTGCCACTGCCACATGGTCAGGCAGGGACTGGAGGTTGCATGTGCCTCATGCCCAGGAGAGAATGAAGCCAGAGCTGTACCTGACAGCAAGCAAGGGAAGAGGGGGCAGAGGCTGCAGAGAAGGAGCTGAGAGGGGGGAGGAGGGAGCTGTAAGGTGATTGCTGCAGCTCTAACTATGGCCCTAGCCTGGGCTCAGGGCCAGTTAGAGCCACAGCATCTACTTGCCATCCAGGCTTGTGCTCAAATCCAAGATGAGGGACTTTTTTTTTTTTTTTTTAACCCCATGTTGAAAGGAAGTAAAAGAAATAAAGCCAAAACTTGCCTTGGATTTTAGTAAATACGGTACTTAATTAGGAGGACGTGCTTATTTTGATGACACCAGATATTTTGTTTAATCTTTAAGATATGATGCCAATTTTTTAAAGTTCTTCTGGCTTTCAAGTTCTGGGTGATCTATATTCATGTATTGTTAAATTACAAATTAAGAAGATCATCATAAAAGTATTCTATGCTCTAACTGGTCAGTTATCCCATTTAACGATGCCAACATTGCTTCTGTGGAGCTGTAAGATTAGATTAGAGAAGAAAAAATTTGTTGCAAACTTCTGTGCCACGAGCTGCCTCATGCTGCATATGGATCAATAAGGTCAGAGAATTAGATTTAAACTATCATCAAAAAGAAAACCAGGAGCAAAGTGCAGTGCTAAACTTGTAATAGTTGCACACATCCTGCAATATTTTAACCACTTGCAAGTTTCAAATGTATTATAGCAGGGGTGGCCAATCCGTAGCACGCCTGCCACAAATGAATGGGGGAGGCCTCTGTATGTGACGCACACTGTATGTAGCACAGACTGGTGAGGGAGCAGGAAACAGCAGCAGATAGGGCAGGGAGCAGACAGAGGAGTAATGGACTGGGCAGGAAACGGGGATTGGAGTGGCAGTCGAGGACAGTGTGGGGCTTGCTTTGTGCCATGCCCAACATAAAGCACTGGTCCTCCACTGTACTATATAATCCCTGTGTGCAAATATAAGGCAGTTAGCAATTTTTCAGAATTCTAGAAACCTTGATTTTCACCCAAAACACAACAATAACCTCAATTTGTTTATATTTCATGAATTTAGGCCAGCAAATTTTACTCCTTATCTATAGCAAAACATGACTATACTTGGAAACAGCAGATTTTGACTGACAAACAAGAAATGCTGGGGCATCGCATGTCTAACTGCTATTGAAGAACATTTATGACCTCACAATAAATTAAAAAATGGGACATGTTTTTTCTGTGCAATCAAGGATATACACTACTTTCATTTCTGCCTTTTAGCTGTAATCCCAGAAATAATGTTTCACAGTGATACCTGCTAGAAAACAGCAGGATGCTCCCAACAGCCTTTGAAAGTCCATCTCCCACTTAATGACTTGTTTGCCATTTAATTTCTTGCGACACACTTACACTAACAGCCTGCACAAGGTCTTGCAAGCCTCCAGGAGTTGTGCCCCAATAAGAACCACTGAATATTTGCAATCAAAGTCTTTTCACTTTCACTACATGACTCTCCAGGGTAAAGACCTTTGTAAAACAACTTTATTCTTTCAGGTTTCCCCTCTTAAATCTCTTCTTGTGATTCTCCACCACAGACGCACGTGGGCAAAGTCAAGAGAAGCCCAACTGAGTGCTCCTACATTTTGACCTGCTATTCTACATCCACTTAGGAAAGGGCAGATATTACTTCCAGTAACTGTTGATTGGCAATTTACAGAACAGCAGGGATAAACCACAGGCTCCTGTTAAGGCCTCCACAGCTGTGTCAAGATATACAGATGCCAGCTAGGCCCTCAGCAGGGCTGGAGAATTTACCAGGCCAATGAGTTCCAGGTGCATGCATGTGCACATATGCACTCTTCCTCCCACATCAAACCAGAAGCAAGAAAAAAGGACTGGCACTTGTTTAAGGAGCAAATACAACCTTCCATCCTGCCCACTAACCACCATTTTAATTGAGCAGCTATATTCACTGAATCAAAACTATCACCACTGTCTGGCTGAGCAACAGCCCCGGATCTTATCAGCTGTTGGTTTGAATAAGAGCGGATGCTAACTTGCACGTAAATGGTAGGGTGGCCTGCAACCAAGAGTGCTCAGATTTGTCTGCAGTGTCAAGGTGGGTCCAGGATTATATTGCATTGTAATGAAACTACCCAGGCTGAACTGTCTATGGGCAGTGGCATCCTCAGAAATAGTCACCATGGACATCCATGTAAAGCCAGGCTTCCTCAGCAAGAAAGCTTTTCATAAATAATGTAGATGTGTTGGCTCTTTTGCCACTTAAAGTGTTTGATCCCTGGTAGAAATATTTACCTGTTCCATGACTTCTGGCGCCATCCAACAAGGCGTGCCCACAAAGGTTTTTCTCACTTTATTTCTGGTAATATCACCACCAGTGGCTAAGAATGCGCTAACACCAAAGTCTGAAATCACAAAGGAAAAGAGGAAAATTTTTAGCGAAGAAAGCATCCTGAAGGGAGGACATATATTCTCAGCTATGGCTTACATTCAAGATAGTAACATTTTACAAAGAGATTTCCAAAGAACTAAGAATGATCAACTGAGAGAAGTTAGCTAAAGAACAAAGTTTCATCATCCAAATGATGGAGATACATGATGACATTTACTCCAGGATAAAAGTAGAGAGGACAAACAGCATACAGCCTTTTACCAGTATGTCACCTTACTTGGGTGTAAAGTTACTCCTCAAAAAGTGAGAAGTGAAGCAGTGAAATCATGCTGCATCTCAGCTGCATATCCGCTTCTCCAGTCTATTTTTTCCACAGTAAACTAGATCCCCACTGCTTAGTGATTAGGAACTCTAATGTCATCTAGCTTGGAAGAGCTGATCACGTGTCTGCTCTTCACTACAAAGCAACTCCAGGGCAAGTTACTGTAGTAATTGTGCCAAGTGTCCATACCAGAGATGAGACCCATCTATTTGAGTCCATAGGGTACATAAAATTCCCTTTTTCATTGTGGATGGTGAGCCAGAGTACAGTGCGTTTTCTCAGTCCGCAGCAAATCCACCAGCAATATGAATAGCAGAGTCCATTCACACAATGAACAAAGACAAGGTGGCCCCTACACTGTAACTAAAATTCAAATATCATGCCTCCAGTAACCTTCTGTTCTTCTTCAGTCCTCTTCTGTACTTGTATCAGCAAGTACAGGTATGAGCCCAACTATTTTTTGCCCTCTCCCAGTCCTCCTCTGTTTCTTTTCCCTTTCTGTGTCTGCACCCATCTTCTCTCAGGTAACTCCCCACCAGCTAGGGTTTACTTTCACCAGCTTCCTTGAGCACCTAATGCTATTATAAACATCACAACAAGATGAATAG